CAAGATATTGGACGTTTGTCTCGTTTAGTAGACTCTTTGATAAGTGCGATGCTGGAGACAGGTCTGTTTTACCACGAAATTTTCAGACACACAAATCTTTTGATTGATTTCACCGAATTAAAAATTTTTTGTCCAGAATTAAAGTATAAACGATAACGAAGACGGCAGGCACCAATTGCGTATGAAAAACGAAAAAAAATTAGAAAATTACATTTTTATTTTCGATTCTGCGGACAACATTTGCTGCAGATAAAAGTTTTAGACTGTGTACGTATACAAAAACCTAGCAGCCGTCACGGAAATACAATAAAGAAGAATCCTGTGCTTGCAGAAATGAGCTGTGAGCTTTAGTATAAGAGAAAAGTATGTTAGAAAATTTCATTACGCGTCTCCCCAAATTCAGCCAAAAACATAGCGGGTAGCCCTAGAGCAGGCGTTCTGTATGTATGTGTAAGAATCGGTGAGCACTAGTTTAGTTGCTGGATGTCAAGGTAGGTGGTGCTGTTGAATTCCGGCGCTCGCGGGGACGCCGGGGACGGCGACAGTGACAGGCGTGACAGGTGACAGCGCCCGAGAGGTTAGGTCAGTGTAATCGTGTAGTGTAGTGATGTTTTGGGCGGGCCGGGTCTTTGACTACGACGAGAATGATCTACAAATATTTACAAAAAATATGCAAGATCTATCGGTCCACGCTGTTCATAGAAGTTATACAGAGGCGCAACCATAACGTAAGTATTGGAAAAGAAAAGAGTTGTAGCATCTAATTTTTACATCTGCGAATTTACAAAATTTTGTGTCATCTCTTCTGTAGGGTTTCTGCGCTGGCAATTTCAAAGCGTTGTCCGAAGCGATCGAACTGGAGCAAGCGAAACTGGGAATCTAGATAATATCAACATTGTTGATACACACTGCTCAAAACTTATACGGCATAGAAAATTTCTATACAACAATTACCAAAATTTTACCGACGATATCTCCGTCAAAAATAATCTTAGCAAAAATTTCTTTTTGGATGCACCTGCGCTACTGTAGCTCTTGAAATGTGAGAGCATGTTTGTTACCTAAAAAATAATCAACTTTGGCAAGGTGCGTGGCAGCGGGAAATTTTTTTCAACAATTGTACTTACAGTGTCAAAAAGTGTGCACTTTTCCCTTCAATTAAAAAAAAAGAAGTGCTTGCTATTTTTTTCGCAAAGTTACAGTCGTTTGAAGTAAACTTTGTATTTTCACTCATTATCGACATATCCGTCAAAAATCATCTTCAATATGTTTTTAGCTTACGCACACGCACACACCCACACACGATGTGTAAAATGCAATCGGCAACCTCCCCGTAGTGCACATTGGATAATGCCAATGCCGATGGTAATGAGCGAAAATGCAAGATTCTTCAAACGGCTGTAACTTTTAAAAAAAATCGCAACATTTTTTTTTAATTGAAGGGAAAAGTACACACTTTTTTTACACCGTAAGCACAATTGTTAAAAAAAAATTCCCCGTGCCATGCACCTTGCCAAAGTTGGTTATTTTTTAGGTAACAAACATGCCCTCACATTTCAAAAGCTCAGTAGCGCAGGTGCATCCAAGAAGAAATTTAAAAAGAAAATAAAAGGTAAAAGTTGCTAAGATGATTTTTGACGGAGATATCGTCGGTCAAATTTTGGGAATTTTTGTATAGAAATTTCCTATGCCACAAGTTTTGAGCAGTGTATATTCCCCAAAAATTCTAATGTTTTATTTATATGGAATGTTATTGTTACAAAATAAATTTGTTTTTATTCAAAAATTTGCTCACTCTTGTCGTTATATATCGATGTAAGGAACGAAATTTTGACGTTGATATGTAGTATAGTAGACAATATAATCAAAAGATTACTGATAACACTTTAGATCAGATTGTTGATAATTGTGAAGAACTATCGAACACATGGTATAATCTCGATTGCGTAGGATTGTGTAGCAACGACTATCTGTGTCTTTTCGAGTAAGATCTGACGTTACATTTGTATTGTTAGTACTAGAATCGAGCTACTCAAGAATCAAGAAAAATGTCTCGAGAGCATTAGAATATTAAATGTTCCTCGGTTATTTAGGAAGTATTTGGTGATCCTAAAAAAGATATTTCTTGGAAGGAATTTTTTGGAAATATTTTTTTATTTTGTCAGTAACAAAAATGTTGTGTTTTATATTATATCTTAGTCACTAGGAGTTCGAAAAGAAACGCATATGGACAGTGTAAATGATTCTAGGTATCTAAATCAAAAATTGTCTTATTCAGAATAAGTGTGGTTATTTTTAAACTAAAAATAACATTTTTCTTCTGGACAAAAGGTGGTCTTTTTATTCAAAATATCAAGTTTCCCTCAAAATTTTGTTACAATTTTATTAAAAAATTATTAGAAAAAAATTAATAAACGTATAAAGTTCTCACACACACGCGATATATAAGCTATACTTCTCTTTACATTTTTTATTATAACGTTTCAGATACCTAGAACAGCTACAACCTCTTACAGTGTCCATATGCGTCTTTTGTTGCGAGTTTCTAATGACCACAATATAACATAAAAAGAGCGTTTTTGTTACTTCAAAAGTAAAAAATATAAAACAAGGCTAAAAAAACGTGCAAAATTTAAGTTAGTAATTTTTTTTGCTTTTTTAACAAAAATTATTGAAAAATATCTTTTTTACGATCTTTCAAACTAGAATATCTTGATAGGAACTGCATGCGGATTTCTTTATAATGAAGATTTTTTTCTATGTAAGAATAACGCTTTTTATTCATAAAATATTGAAAAGGTGCACAAAAATGGAACACATCCCTATGGTCTGTGGAATAGATGGGCGGGGATCTATCTATTTGTATCCTGCCGGCGCCCACGGTGCGTATCCTGCCGGCGCGGGCGGTGCGTATCCTGCCGGCGCCCACAGTGCGTATCCTGCCGGCGCGGGCGGTGGGTATCCTGCCGGCGCGGCCGGTGCGTATCCTGCTGGCGCGGCCAGTGCGTATCCTGCTGGCGCGGGCGGTGCGTATCCTGCCGGCGCGAGCGGTGGGTATCCTGCCGGCGCGGCCGGTGCGTATCCTGCTGGCGCAGCCAGTGCGTATCCTGCTGGCGCGGGCGGTGCGTATCCTGCCGGCGCCCACGGTGCGTATACTGCTGGCGCGGCCGGTACCGGTGCTGGTGGTACTGCCGGTGCGACTGATGCCGGTGCGACCGGTGCCGGTGCGGGTGGTACTACCGGCGCGGCCGGTACCGGTGCTGGTGGTACTGCCGGTGCGACTGATGCCGGTGCGACCGGTGCCGGTGCGGGTGGTACTGCCGGTGCGACCGGTGCCGGTGCGTGTGGTGCGGTCGATGTGGACGGTGCGTCAGGCGACGTCCATCGTCGGCGACCGCCAACGTAACGGCGAGCGTACATAACTTTATTTTCTTTTTTTCTTTCTTTCTGTAACGCTCGGTGGACTTGTTGTTTTATCTGCTGTAAGTAAAATTTTCATATATATATACTTTATATATCTAACATTATTTTATTGATAACAATTTAAAAAAAATCAAAATGTGGCCAAACAATAAACATAATAAATACGAGCAAATTGAAAGGACTGAAAAGAGAAAACACATATCGTACACATATATACATATGGACGGTAAAAACCACAGTGGTGTAAGTCAAAATTTTTTAAATATTTTCTCGTATGCATACATGCAATCTGTACAATATATAAATTGCATCTATGCACATAAACAAATATTTAAAAAAATTTGACTTACACCACTGTGGTTTTTCCTCTCCATGTATACATATACACATATCGTATGTATGTGGTTATACATAACATAAGATATTTATATGTATGGCGCATGCGCACTTTCGAGCATCACCTTGCAAGTGAGAGGCAACTATGTTTTTCTTTTTCAATTCCTCCGGACATGTTTTTCTTCTGAGAACAATAGGCATTCCGCTTCCATTTCTATATGTTCTAAGCTACCGTCTCTCTTGATAACTACAAGGGGACAAACAGGATTTGTCCTTTCGGATTTCACCAAAAATTCGCTTCAATAATAATTATATTATAACTAGCTTACCCGGAGTTCGCCCCGGAGGACATGTAATAAGACACGCAAATAGTCTCTCTCTCTCTCTCTCTCTCTCTCTCTCTCTCTCTCCCCTCTCCTTCTCTCCCCCTCTCCCTCTCAGGTAAATTTCGTAACCGATTTCCACAAAGATACCAGATAAGATTTTATATAAAAATTCTGACCGTCTTCTAACGTAAATTTCATTTTAAATCACATACATTTTTGTAAACAAAAATCGGAAACCCTTTTATTATTTTTATATTAATTTATATTTATTTCTATTTATTAGACAGATAAACAGTCGGGTTTTATATAATAGTATGATATGATTTTTTTATATAAAAAGCATTTTTTTTGCCTTTGCAGCTTTTTCCATTTCATAATTTGGTGCTGCTCTCAGTAGATCATCTTGACCGTCTTTTAACGTACATTTTTGTTTAAATTACGTACATTTTTTAAAACAAAAATCGGAAACCCCTTTATTATTAGCAAATTTTTTAATTCCTGCGAAATTTGCAAAATTTCTGATACCGGCTTCTAAAAAGATCGAAAAATTATATACATCATGGTACTCCCCGGAAAATTCTACCCCTGTTTCATATACTTTTGGTAAAAATTCGGTCTACTAACGAATGAGTAGTTCGCGGACAAACGGACGGACGGACAGACAGACAAACAGTCGAGTTTTATATAATAGTATAATTATATTATAATATAATATAATATATAATATATGATGTATAATATAGTCTAATATATTATTATATTATTTATAATTATATTATATTACAATTATATTATAAATATTTTTAAACATATTTATACTTTGTTGCATAATAATCTGTACATGCATAATATTATGTAACATATTGTGAATAATTAAAAAAAAAGTTGCAAGAATCAAAATTCAAACCCATGGCATGCAGTGCCACTTCAAATTTCAAACTGATTTTTTTCGTGAATGCTTGAGCGTTGCATCGAATGACTTTACCACAAGTATTGTGAATATAAAGCCGAGTTCACATTATCGAACCAAGCCGCGAGCCGAATCTCGTTGCGAACCTCGATCACCCTATTCACAAAGGGGATTGAGATTCGAACGCATGCGAAGTTCAGCTCGCGGTCTGGTTCGATAATGTGGACTCGGCTTTATATTCGCAATACTTGTGGTAAAGCCATTCGATGCAACGCTCATGCATTTACGAGAAAAATCAGCTTGAAGTTTGAAGTGGCACTGCATGCCACAGGTTTAAATTTTGATTTTTGCAACTTTTTTTTTATTATTCACAATATGTTAGAAAATATTATGCATGTACAGATTATTATGCAACAAAGTATAAATAAGTCTATAATATAAGGTACATAAAAAAATTCTATTTTTTCGCGAATGCTTGAGAGTTGCATCGAATGATTTTACCACGCATCTCTGCGAATATAACACTATAACATTTTTCAAGCAAATTTTTGGCGAAATTCGAGAGTACAAATCCTCTTCATCCCCTTATATATAGTTATCAAAACAAACAGTAGCTTAGAACATATAGAAATGGAAACGAAATGCTTATTGTTCTCACAAGAAAAACATGTCCGGAGGAAGTAAGAATAAAGAAAATTGTAGTTGCCTCTCGCTTGCAAGGTAATGCTCGAAAGTTTGGTTCGATAATGTGGACTTGGCTTTACACTGTATTTATAAGTCGACGAAATCCGAAAGAACAAATCCTGGTGCTCTTTGATAGTAAAATTATCAACATTACTTACTTTATTCATCCCTCGTCGTGGATCCTCCCACTGGGTGTGGCGACTAATCATAATTTTTGCTGCCGCCGTCGCTGCCACCGTCATTTCTCGCGTCGTTGCCGCCGTCATTGCCGGCGTCGTTTTCTGCGTCGTCGCCGTCAGCGTTGCCACCGGCGCTGACAATGACGCTGCCATCGTCGTCTTCGTCGTTGTTACCGTCGTTGTCGGCGGCAGTGCCAACGATGACGGCAATGCCGCTGTTGTTGGAAGATCGCCTTCACTTTTCGCTGCAAGAAAAATACAATCTTACTAAAATTATCTGTATTTCTATTTCTAATCGACGGCAGTTTTGTTTCCGCGTAACTTCCGCGAGGTTCGATGATCGATAACGGCACGCACGTGGCTGGCACGTATTGTATAACGGACGATTCTGACCGGTGAGAATAGCGTAATAGGAAAGGCAGGATTGTAAATGTTCGACACTAATTGTAAGATATGAATCAACGACTTATCAGTACGATAATTTGACTAGGAGTCGCCGTTAGCCGAATAAGTATTATCGTAGCCTGAATAAAAGGATAGTGTCGGACTTTTGTACAAGTGCTGAACTTTATTCATATCTTATAATGTAGAACATTTACAATCCTGCATTTCTTATTGCGATATTCCCGCCGGTCGGAATCGTCCGCTATACAATACGTGTGTGGCCGCATGTACCTTCAATCATCGAGCCTCACGGAAATTACGCGGAAGCACAACTACCGTCGATCGGAACTAATAATAAAACTTTCACATTTCTGGTTTTATACTAAGGCTGCGTTCTGATATTCACTGATAATACTGCAAACAAGTTTGTCACATACAATATACATTTTCATTACTGGCCGAATATCGCAACACAGTCTCCCTACTTCGATTATATAAAATAGAAATAATGCTATTTTTACTTACGCTTATACCGTGTTTTTATCGCCTGCTTCGACATGCCGGCTTCCATCACACACCAATACACAAACACACACTGGTGGAACAGTGAACGTCGTCAGAGCAGTGTCGTCAGCAACTGAGCATTCCGCCGATTCCGCGGCGATCGCGGTTAGAAAAACAAATTCGGCTCGCACACCCCTACCCACTCTCTCAACCGACACGGGCTAGACGGCTAGACGCCGTGACTGGCAACGCACACTAAAGCTTGGGCCCACGTCTGTGTGAGCTCTTGGTTCGTCCACGCTTCGAATCAACAAAGCAATGTTTTGCTGTTTCCTTCCCTTCGAACTGTCTCCTTTTATTTCATGATTGTAATTATAGCTATGTAATTTCCAATCTCCAGTTCCCGAGTAGGAGATGCGACACACGAAGCTATTATCGATTTATTATATTCTTTTTTATAAACTTTATATATGAATTTTAGACATTTATTTCTTATATACATACTTATATATGTATATACATATATATATATATGTAAGTATATGTAATAATTACGTTAAAATTTGCATCAAAACTTTTGTAAATTTCTCGTGCGATTATGTACCGAGTTTACAACGAAAATGACAGATTACAAGCGTAGTGCAGCGAATAAGGAGAACGGAATATTGCACGTTGCAGGCTCGAGTCCTGCTTTCTTCCCAACTTATTTTTATGTTCATTTTTATTGAATAAGCATTTTACAGACTTTTTCCGGCAACGTATGTAAACAAAAAACATTATTTTCTGATTATTACATAATAATACTCACATAACGCCTGCAACCATGCGAATAATATTGGTTCATAATAAAAACAAATTACCAAAATTATTTTTTAAATCTGTAAGAAATTTTATAAATACGTTATTTATTTGCGTCCAAATTAGTTACCGAAAGACCTATATTTTATGTAGGTATTTTTTTTATATATCGGAATTCTCTTCGAAATCTTTACCGGAAATTCGACATACATGGATGATAGTAATCAACGAAAACACTTCAAGATAATAATATCGATTTATATCAAACATATTCAATGAAGCTTACATTTTTATAAAAGCAGTTTTTTCCAAATTTATTTCGGATGAAGCAGATGTCACAATATTCGAATATACCTTTTATGAAATATAATGTATAATAAATAAATTTCGTTGCAGAATTTGAAAATAATTTATACATTTTTTTTGCGAAACGATATTCGTATGGTTGTAGGCGTTAGTATACAGCTATTTAGTATTTGTGAAATAATTTGTTTATAATATGCGTTGCGTAATTATCCATTTCTGTAAAAAAATCTTTGCACATGATATGAAAATTTACACGAAAAAAATAAGAGAAGAAACAAAACTCGAACCTGTAATGGGCAGTTGCAGTTCGTCGCCTTATTCACTTGTAATCTGTCAACTTCATTCGTACACTTGGTACAGAAACGCACAAGAAATTTCAAAAACTTGTGATGCTAATTTCTACATAATTATTAGTACAAGGGTACTGATAAACAGGGTGTCCTGGAGGTAATTAGCAACCCGAAAAGTGGAGGTAGATTTAGTTTAAAAATATAAAAGACATGTATCATTTTGCAAATATCGCAAAAATCGCAATAGTTATTGAATAATTATCTGAGCCAACGACGGCGTGGAAAACGGGCGGACTCAGTAAGCACGTAAAATGACTTATATATTTGTTTACATGTAGCTACTGCTACCGCTTGCCGTTCGTTGCATGACAATAATTTTACGGCGACATATGATACCGCATCGGCAAAATATTGTAGCAAACGGCGAGCAGTGCGAGCGGTCACTATAAGATCTAAACAAATGTCATTTTACATGCCTACTCATTGTGAGTCCGCCGTAATGCTTTCCACGCACTCGTTGAGATTTTATTTAATTATTTAATAACTATTGCGAATTTTGCGATTTTTGCAAAATGATACATGCCTTTTATTTTCGTACTCTATTTTTAACTCCACTTTCCGGATGGTTAGTGACCTCCCAGACACCCTGTATATCTTATATAGAAATTAGCATCAAACGTGTGTAAAATTTCTTGTACGCTTCTGTACCAAAATTCAAGTTGACAGATTAGAAGTGGTGCAGCGAATAGGGCGACGGACTAGAACGTTGCACGTTGCAGGTTCGATTCTTGCTTCTTTCCTTATATTTTTCGTGTAAATTTTCATATCATATGCACATTTTGTTACAGAATTGGGTGATTACGCAACGCATGTTGTAAACAACTGAATTCTTTATTTATAATACTCGCATATGCCTATATATGACCATACGAATAATATCGGTTCGCAAAAATTTGAAATTTATAAATTATTTTAAAATTCTAGAAGGAATTTTATTTATTATATTTGCTTTCACATTTTTTAGTAAAAGGTATATTCCAATATTGTGACATCCTCACAACAAATTTGGAAAACCTGAATTTGTAAAGACGTCTAAGCTTCATTGAATATGTTTTGTATAAGTACACATTGTTATCTTGATATATTTCTTTGTTGATTATCATCCTAATGTATGTCAAATGTCCGAAAAAGATGTTGAAAAGATTTCCGATATATAAAAATAAAATACAAATATAGATTTTTCGGTATTTTTAGACGTAAATAATATAACGTAATATAAAATTCATTGCAGATTTTATAAATAATTTTTGTATTTTTAATTAAATTATGAATCAATATTATATGGTTGCAAACGTTTTACGAGTATAAAGTGTTATGTAATAATTAGAAAATAATAGTTTTGTTACTACATGCGTCACCCAATTGTTTATTTCTGTAAGGCCAGGTCTACAATGGATGTCGGAAGTCGGAGTCGTAAAAAATTGACCAATCACAGTTCATTATTCTTCGACCGCAAGAAGAATAATAGATTGTGATTGGTCAATTTCTTACGACTCTGACTTCCGACATCTATTGTAGACCGGGCCTAAAAGTTTGTTAAATGCATATTCAATAAAAGTGAACAAGAAATAAAAAGAGAAAAAGCAGGACTGCAACCTGCAACGTGCAGCGTTCCAGTCCGTCGCATTATTCTCTCGCCGCCCTACGTTAGTAATCTCTCATCTTTGTTTGTACACTCGGTACAGAATCGCACGAGAAAGTTCAATAAGTTTTGATGCAAATT